ATAAAACATGATGTCATATAGGATAACCTTTAGCTTTGAGATTCTTTACCTCCCTGCTTACCTTGCTGTTTGTATTTTACAATCTTCTAGTCACATTATTTTTTGTGTCTTGCTTTCACTAGATCTGACAGGATGTTTTAACACTTGCACGCATCAAAGCCATCTTAGTAAAATACTACTATGGATTCCATTTGCAAATCATTCTCCCAAAACATAAAAAATGCATATCCTGAGTTCTAATATGTGAGAGAATTAAGCTGAGCCCATGGCTATGCTGGAAACTTGATTTAGGCCCTCTCTTTTCTTTTTCTTGATTTGTCTGGCTACATGTTTGTCAATTTTGTTTTATCTTTTCAAAAATCCTTCTCTAACCACAACTCTTCATACTTTTCAAGCACCTTTTCTAACCTCAACACTATGAGAGTAAAAATCAACTACATAAAAAAACTGCAAAAAATACAAACACATGGAGGCTAAACAACCAACTGGTCACTGATCACTGAAGAAGTCAAGAAGAAATTAAAAAATACCTGGAGAGAAATAAAAAATCAAAAACAAAAACATAATGATCCAGCAGAGATCATCACCTCAGACATGCATAGTCAGGAAGTACAGACCATTCTGTTTTCACACAGGAACCCATTTAGACAAACAATAATGCTGTGACATAGATACCATACTACCCCATTTTGTGAAGGATGAACCTGAGCCACAGAAAGGTTCAGAAACTTGCCTGAGGCCGCACAGCTTGTGAGCAGCAGGTTTGGGAGTCTCACCAGAAGCTCTGGCTCCAGGAGGAAACAGCTCACAGCCCCATGTGGGATCAGCATTCTTGGAGAAGGTAACCATGAGGTGAGAGGGAGGTGGTCTGGAGTATTTAATCATCAGGGAATGGGAATCTGTGTGAGGGGATGACTTGGTCATTCCCAGATTTTGATATTTCATGGACTTATGAAACTTTTTAAAAATCAAAAAACCCACACAGTGATTTGGTCCAGTAAAGACATCAGTTATCATCTATAGTCACTCCTATTTCATTTTAAAAAAAGGACTTCTAGCGGGTAAGAAAGCACAGGTTGGCACCTCATAATAAAGGCACATATTCTACATTGAGTAAGCTGAGGTTCCCGAGGGACTCGCTCAGTGGCTGTATTTTCCTTACTTTGCTGAGGACAGTAAGATGTTGGAATTCAATGAGTGGAACTTGGACAATGCCTGCAACAGACCTGACACCTGGTCTGTGCTTAGGGGACCTTAGCTGTGGCCAATGTTATAATTCTATTTAAAATGACCTACATTTTATTTTTCTTATATAGATTATATGCTAAAATGTCTATTTATATCTCTCTGCTAATGGGAAAACCAGTTTGACTTGTGACAAATGGAAATTTACCACAAAAATACGATGAAATCAAAAGAATGCTCTGAAGTCCCAGAGACTTCCTGGGGCCTGCTCTCTGTTGAAAAGGGATGTTAGTGACAGTGGGTGGGGATGGGGCAAGAGAGATCCAGCTCTATTCCAAGACTTTCTCCTGACAGCAGCAAGGGAACGAAACGAGCAGGGGAAAGCATCCGATTTCTCAAGGTGTCCTGGCATGCCATCTGATGTCAGATCGGTGGACTCTCTAAAATCATCTCCTGAACCAGCGCAGGAGCGTGGCTCAGGCCTTAAGAAACAAGGGGTGATGGCGCAGCCTTCAGGAGACCACTTTAACTGCAACGGTATTGCTTAGGAAGATACGCTGGGTGGACTCATGGCAAGTGGCTTCAAAAAGTACTGCCTGACTCACCCTCTTCTCTGACCCTGCCCACCACCCATGACCCTGATAATTGGGCCAAGAGGACACCTGACCCAACTAGGCTGGGCCAGTGAGCTCCCCGCCTGTGGAATCTGGAATGGTGATCTCAGATGTGGCCACAGTGCTGGCAGTGGGGTAAGGATTTATGTTTAGAAGGTCTATTTTTGTTTAAAACCAAAGATCCTTGGTGCAGACACAGGGAGGTAAGAATAGAGGAAATGGGTCCAGAACATGGCGAGGACTGCAGGGGAAGATGGTATATGCCACCGGTCTTCCCAACCAGCCATCCTGGACTAGAGGACAGGATCAAGTGGCAGCAGGTGCCCTGAATGGAGCAGAGGTGAGCCCTTACCCAGTGAGGCCAAGAGCCCAGATGTCTCCATTACCACCTCCTGGTAATGGGTCCTCTGGGCTGGGCTGTTTCTGACACTCCAGGGTGAAGATCAAACACCTGAAAAGGCAAACTGAGGCTTCACAGTGGGTTGTTGGATGGGATCAGAGCCTGTCACTTAGCCGCTGATGAAGGTGCAGAGACCTGCCCCAAGCTGCCTATTCTTGAGCACTGAGTCCCGTGCTGTGCTCGAAGGGGAAGGTGTGGCCTTTGGACATAATGCAATTGCAACTGAGAGAAGAGCCTCCTGTGGGGGAAGCCACTGGAGGTGACAGACAGGGGCACTCCCATGAGGACTGAGAGGGCAGGCGTAAGTGGGGACATGCCGACAGGTCCAACAACGGTAACAGCGGCAGCAGCCGAGACCCCTTGGTCCTCGCCACGTGCCTATCCTGGGCTGAGGGCTCACATGCTGAGGTAAAGGGATTAAACATCCCCAGCTCTAACCTAGACTCGGGGTCTGAATCCAGCATCTTCAGTCAGACACTTGTCCACTGTGTGACCTCGGGGAACCCACTTCATCGTTCTGACCCTCGATTCCCCCTGCATCCTCAGGGGTGAGAATGAAAGAGAATATGCTCATAAAGCAAAGGGGGCCTGGCCAGGGAATTTCACTGAAGGCGGAGGCTAGAGCTGCCAAGGCCCCAGGAGGCCTGGTGCAGTGGTGGGTGCAG